GACCGCCAGCAGCACCGGCTTCTCCAGCACTGCCCTGCGGGGAGACCCGGCGCTGGCAGCGGGGGCAGGGGCGGGGGGAGCGCGGCCTGGGGGGCAGCGACCCCACCGGGGGCTGAGCCGGCACCGCAGGGGGGACCCGCAACCCGGGCAGCTGAGGGGGTCAGGGACTCTGCCGCTCCTTGGAGCTTCTTGCTTCACTGTTACGTTTTCCTGTGCCGATCCCCCGTCCCCCCCAACTCGGTTGTGAAAATGCAAAGGGGACGAGCCGCCTGCACACGGAGCAGGGAAAGGGGCTTTGCCCGCGTTACCAGCTCAGCCCCGCTCCAGCTCCCACCAGAGGGGAAAAAAAGGCGCCTTTCTAAGGCCCGCCTTATGATCATCCTCAGCCCGAAGTGACAGTGGTAACACTTTTGTAAACAAAAATGCGAAGTTAACCTCAAAGTTAACTCTAGAAGTGTGTGTATATAAATAACATCCATGTATTCAACTGTGCTTGCTTTCCTCAGTAAGGAAAGAATTTATATGCAAAACTTTGAACATTCAGGCAGACGGCTTATAAATTACTTATTTTGTGACAAACCAGTGCCAAAAATCCACAGGCTTTGGTGCTGTTACCTGTTGCTCATTTACTGCACAACTAGATCTGCAAGTCTTACAACAGCCCTCCACTATTTTTTTTGTTTGTTTTGTTTTACAGTTCAGGATAAAACCCCCCACCCTCTGTTAATCACAGCATGTAACAAAGTAATTAAGTAAAGTGTAGCTGGGGTGCTGCAGGCCTCCTGCAAGTCAAGATGCCCGGCCAGAAAATGCCATCGACCCTTCCTGACTGCCAAAAATCTTTGCAGAAATCAGCACTGTCCATCCCGATCGTTGCCTTTCAAGGATGATCGAGATACTCCTCCTAAAACAGAAAACAGTTGCCCCAATCACTTGAGAAATCACCTTCTGAAGGGAGATACTATCACCGGGCATTGCAAGGAGTGATATAAAAAGGGTGTCACCTCAGCCCCCTAATTTGGGTGATGGCTCTTGGGAGGAAAAAACCAAGTGAGGGGTTGTCAGGAGAGCAGCAACTTTTGCTGTGACTTGGACATGAAGTTCCTGCTCTGTGGGGCATGTGCAGCTGCTCACCTTTTCCCCACGTTCTGGATAAATCCTTCCTGCTTTGATCTAATATAGATATCATTATTCAAAATATGACTGTAATAGACGTGAACGCCGTGTAACTAACCTTGACAACATACCTATAGCTTCGATTGTGCCAGGAATTAATTGGCTTCGATCCAATTGCTAAAACTCGCTTTTCAGCCTTTATTGTACTTACTCTCTAGTAATGTGTGGGTGGATTTGTTTGTAATTTAGCATAGGGTGTCCCTGGCATTGCACCATACCTGTACCCAGCACAGAACTGTAACGCTGTAAAAAAAAAAAAGAAAAAGAAAAAGAAAAAAGGAAACAAAAAAGGCAGGTGTGAAGGTAATTACTTCATCATCCCTTCGGTCGGTGCTGGGGAGCTCGAATTGTTCAGCTAACGTCAGCGGGCAATAAAAACCTCCCGGGAAACCCTGCCAACATAAACTAGAGCGAAAAAACCGGTAAAATATAAAATCCAGCTTCTCTGACTCCCTGGCTTTGAGTCTCCAGCGGCGTTCCAGGGTGACCTCAGCTCGCCCGGAGACCCCGAACGACCCCGCCGCCAGACGCCCGCGCTCCCCGGCAGCCTCCGCCAACAGGCTCCGAACAATTCTCTGGAGTGTTTTTTCCTGGGAACAGGGACTTTCCTGGAGGTGCAAGTTAACTCTTTCTTAGCCCCCCCGGCCGCGTTTGTCCCCTGTCCCCTCGGACGGGCGGTCGCGCTGTGCCCACCCCCGCAGCTCCCCCGGTGCCGCCGCGGCGGGGAGCGGGAGGCTCCGGGCTCCCAGGAACTGCTCCGTTCCCCCTCACGGTTACGGGAAAGAAAAACAATAAAGGACTTGCGTTTCCTAAAAACGGCAGAGTAACTTTTATTCAAAGGTGCAACCGTGTTGCTTTATCACAGCTTCTTGCTAACAGGAGACGTGCTCGGTGTGTCTGTGGCCTTAGGGAGCCGCGACATCCCTGCAAAGATCGCAGCAAAACCACGTTGGACTCATTAGCTAATTGGTGGCCGAGCGCGGGTTTGTGTTTAACGTCACTGCTAAGGGGGTAGCTGAACGGCATCAGGCTGTAGGAGGCAGACTTAAAAAGCATTAATTACAGCTCAATTTGCATTACTTACCCCTTCCTCCTCCACATTTAACTGGTATATAACGCAACTGCATCTTACAGGGCTGGAGGCTCAGTGGGGGCTGCTGCGCAGATCGAGGTCTGTTGGCTCAGAAACCTAAGGAAGACGCTTTTCCTCCTTTCAAGAGAAGTAGGAAGACGGGAAAAGTCGCCGTTTGCCGGAGCC